ATAAAAATGATTTAACTATTAATAATTGTATTAATATGCTATATTAAATTAATATAATATATTAACATATTAATAACCATTTTTTATTTTAAAAACTAAACTAAATAAAAATGAACATGGCACTGATGAACACCTGGAAAATTTTATTCGATTATATTACATTATATTATATTATTTACTATTAGATAATATATTATACTATGAAATATATTTTATACTAAAATATTACTTGCACTATAAATTACTTTTAATTATTTATATTATGAAATATATATTTTTTAAACATTATACAGTAAGTAGTAAAGTATAGACTGCAAGCTATGTGAAATGTAAAAATGAAAGAAAATTAGCCCTAGTCTGTGCTCGAAAATACATTTTTCTTCTGTGAATTGATTTCATAATGTGTGTCTTCTGAAATATCTCCGTGAGGGACGACGTTCAGTTTTATATGGCCAATCAGCTTTGGGTGAAGAAGGGCAACATCTTCTAGTAAACTCTTTTTGAGTTATTCTGGGTGACGTGCAAAACACTGGAAGTATGAAAACTTAAGAGCAAGCTCAGCTGGATTTCTCAGTACAAATTATTCAGCGAGTTGAATGAAATTCTGTCTTGTTTCTCAAACCCAGGAATACAGCTAATTTTGAGGTGTTGTTAGTCCTTTTAAATGTGACCCTGGAGCACAAAACCAGTCACGATCATGTTCCATGAAGATATCATGTACGTTTCCTACCATAAATATATCAAAACTTCATTTTTGATTAGTAATATGCATTGCTAAGGACTTCATTTGAACAACTTTAAAGGCGATTTTCTCAATATTTGGATTTTTTTGCACCCTCAGATTCCAGATTTTCAAATAGTTGTATCTCAGCCAAATATTGTCCAGTCCTAACAAACCACACATCAATGGAAAACGTATTTATTCAGCTTTCAGATGATGTATAAATCTCAATTTCGAAAAATTTACCTTATCACTGGTTTTGTGGTCCATGTTCACAAATAGTTTCTCCGACACAATCGGCGCTGGTAAATGACACTCTAACCGAGACTCGCACTGTTTCCCGCAGATTCTGGAGGAGCGGATGAAGCTGGAATGCAAGTGTCACGGTGTGTCGGGCTCCTGCACCACCAAAACCTGCTGGACCACGCTACCCAAGTTCCGCGAGATCGGCTATGTCCTGAAGGACAAGTACAACAAAGCGGTGCATGTGGAGGTGGTCCGCGCCTCGCGCCTGCGGCAGCCCACCTTCCTCAAGGTGAAGAAGGCAAACGGTTACCAGAAGCCCTTAGAAACGGACTTGGTCTACATTGAGCGCTCGCCCAACTACTGCGAAGAGGACGCCAAAACGGGCAGCGTGGGGACGCAGGGGCGGCTGTGCAACCGGACGTCGCCGCACACAGACGGTTGTGACCTCATGTGCTGTGGGCGGGGCTACAACACGCATCAGTACACCAAAGAGTGGCAATGCAACTGTAAATTCCAGTGGTGCTGTTTTGTGAAATGCAACACCTGTAGCGAGAGGACGGAGGTGTTCACCTGCAAATGAATCGCTCGGCTCGTTTTGCACAGCAGAATGTATATTTGCTTTAACACGGAGTTAAAATACTAAATTCTATCGGTAGGTACGAGCCCGGAGGTACGTGCACTGACTCGCGCTAAAGGACTGCAGGATGCCAGCCGTGCATGCTGGGATTGGTAGTGTGGGACTCGAAAGGCCACGGAGGAACTCGTCGAGTTGTGTTTAAGGAGCTCAGTGCAAATCGAGGATGTATAAATGCCAACTGGAACCTGGTAGAGTATGTTAGTTATCCAGTCACACTGGATCTGTCTGTTTGAACACTGAAAATAAATTATTATGTATTATATGTCATAGTCTCCTAAGGAACCGAAGCGCTAACGGGTAGAAATGTGTTATTTTGTACTAAGTGTAAACCGAGAGAAAGACTTTGTAGAAGCTCGTGACTGAAAACGTCTTGTAGAGGGAAGGAAAAAGCCCTGTGTTTTCCGACAGGAACGTTTGATGGCTAATGACGAGTTGACTTACGAAACCACTGTCATTTTGTAATTTTGTTTTGGTCAGCTGACGCATGTTAACATGGGTTCATCTTTGCTGTAATCTAGCCGTAGTTCTCAGTAAGGTATGCGATAGACGTTCGGGCCACTTTTCTTTTTCCGACTTTGCTAAACCAGTCTCTGCGATTCAAAGATCCTTCCTCAGTTCATGAAATGTGGAACGAGTATATTTCTGGATATGTTACAGAGTGCTGCACTGATATTTTTTCTATTCAGATACGATGCAATTAAAAGTAAAATAAATATCAAGTTGACTGACATCTGGGGATGTTTTTGCAGGGGTAAAATAACTCTTTGGGAAACTGGGTCCTGATACGCAAAAAAAATTTTTTTTCACACAACATGTTACATAAGACAATATGTAATATTTTAGATTTATATTATATAATATTTTATATCAGCATGTATTATGTAATATATATTTTTATCTATATAATTTAATATATTTGATGTTTTACATTAATATTTAATATGCAAAAATATGACTGTATATTACATGTTATATACAATATTGTAATATAATTTTATGTTTTAATATGCAGTATATAATATTTTATTAGTATTTCATAATATGTAACCTTTTATATATAATAAATATTACATAAAATGTATAATATTTTATACTAGTATTAACAAGTGAAAAAACAAATTGCATTACAATAACAGAGTTTGGACATCAAATACAAAAGATCTGGGAAGTAGTTTCTCTTCTTGATTTTAAAAGTTGACAGCTCCATTGACTTTTCTGTCCTTATCATTTTCCCTTTACTATAGCATTGTTTTGTTCCTGCTGGTTGATTGCTTTCTTAAATGAATAGATTTTTTAATGCAAAAGTCCATATATGAAAAGGTTTAAACAACGTTTGATCCCAAACATGGGTGTTTTCAAGCACACGTGACATCAGTATGAATCCCAACTCCAGTTTCCTGTATTTCAGAAGCCTGAAAACCCATTAAACACACATCACCTCTCAACATAATGATCGTTAAACCCGAAAAGAATAGACTCGTCGCCGTTTCCCCATTATAAACGACAAGATGAATTGTGCTGGTGGCTTTTTATGCTTGTTTCCTGGCCGTGTCAGGAACAGCTTTCCACTTCCATGTCTTCGAAGCCCATTTGGGAAAGTTGCCTAAAATGAGGCAGTGATATTCGCTGTGACTCATATTTGAGGCCGCGCTTCCAAAGGCCGGAAATTGTGCCCGTATTGTGCAGTTCCAGTCACTCTTAATCTTAATAGGGCATGAGGAGGAAACATACATCATTAGATATCATAGTTAAATCAAGCCAGCAGCTCGCCCATGCAGCCTTTCTTCACGTTTGTGAGGAAAACACATGTTTATAATATCTTGTGGTCCGTTCGCTTGATTGTGGCATGTGTGGAGTTATCTTTGGAATTAAAGGGAAAAAAAACAAGAGGGTTTAGGTTGATTTGCTCTTGTACTGCGGTAGATATTATGCTCTTTCATAGTGCTTCAGTGCATGGGACTTTGTCTCAGATGTTTCTCCTAAAATTCCTTGGGAAAGATGAAAAAGCTTAGAGCTGTAAAATGATTATGGATTTGATGAGAAATGATTGAGATCTCTGACTTTTGATGGCAGACTTTGGGATCTAAGCTGACATTTGGAATGTTTTTGCAGAGTTTTTAGAATTATGCAAAATTTAAACAAAAATGCTATATATTTAAAATATATTATAATAAAATATTACAAAACATCCATTTACTCACCCTCATGTCGTTTCAAACCTTTCTTTTGTGGAACATAAAAGAAGGCATTCTTTTATGAAGACTGTTGAGAAAGCTTTCACTGTATGAATAAAAAATAATAAGCTGTTTCTCAAATGATCTTCTTTTACGTTCCATCGTTTACTTTAGGCCTGGCACTGTGAGCCTAAATGTTCATGTGTAATAAATATTATGTTGAATCAAATCAAATCAGATATTTCTTTCTAAAGCTACAATTTCTAATGTCTACTTAATACTTTCTCATTTAACACAAAAATAGCTTTAAATAATCTTTTGTGTGTATTTTCACAGTCAAAATTATTTTGCGATGAATTAATCGACCCATCTTGTAATTAATTAGATTCAAAATTGTAATCGACAAGACAGCCCTAATTATTATATATCATTTATATGACTATATCTAATTATATTTTATCTCATAATTCACTCACATACAAGATTATTTGGAAAATCTGAACACATTTCACTTTTTAGTTAAATCTACACACGATTCTAACCAGATTCCAATGAATGTTGTATTGAATGTGTCAAAATAATGTTACATTTAAATCCAAAGGTATGTTTAGCCTTAAACTGAAATATAACTTTAAATTATAGAACATACACAAGCTGAAACTCTTTCTGCTGTAGGTACAGCATTATTTTGGAGTCCATTCATGGATTTTAAGGGTGTCAGTCGAGGGAAAGCATCATGCTCTCGGCTGAAAGGCATTACAGACAGGCAGCAAAGCAGAAGTAAGATGTGTTTTGTTAGCTGTCTGAAGCCCTGGGGCCCGGAACCATCTAAGCTCCATCACTATACCCCGGATTGTCCAAAATAAATCCACCTGTTTCTGGCAAACATTTTGTCATTAAAAAATATGAGAGAGAAAAACAGAGTCCATGGTGTGTGTGCTCTCCTCTAAAGCGCCTTTTGTTCTGGTGTCAAGATGGTTTGTTCAATGCGAGTTCCACTCCGGCGGATAATGCCAGCGGCTTTATTCACACAGAAACAGCCGATCGCACAGCAACGCACCAGTAACTCATACTGGTGAGAGAGAGCGACTGCGTTTAATAGTTCACTGTTTGTATATAACTGCTTAGAAATGCTTAGCGACTAATAAAACACAGAATGAAGGCTGTTCTCTAATTTTTTTTTTTTTCTCTAACTCTTTTATATAGAGTTCCCACTTATGATTAAGTCTCAACTTTGTGTGAAATGTTTCTCCTGAAGGAGAATTAAAAATGGACAAATGAGTAAAGAGCAGTTCAGATCATTTGATGAGAGATGATTTTAGTTCATATTGAGATCTCTGACTTTTAATTGCAGATAACAGTATAGATCAATCCCAGAAAGCATGCATTTTGTAAAGTCGTATTCAAGGTTAAGTATGTGATATTTGTGTCTCAATTTGGAATTGGATAATGACTCTTTCCAAACAGGTTTCCGAAGCCGCCTCTTCTGCACATCAAACATAGCAAGAAATTACACAGTTTAGCTTTAAAGGAACACTCCACTATTTTTGAAAATAGGCTCATTTTCCAACTCCCCTAGAGTTAAACAGTTGAGTTTTACCGTTTTCGAATCCATTCAGCCGATCTCTGGGTCTGGCGGTAGCACTTTTAGCTGCAGCTTAGCATAGATCATTGAATCTGATTAGACCGTTAGCATCTCGCTCAAAAATGACCAAAGAGTTTCGATATTTTTCCTATTTAAAACTTGACTCTTCTGTAGTTACATCGTGTACTAAGAACGACGGAAAATGAAAGTTGCGATTTTCTAGGCCGATATGGCTAGGAACTATACTCTCATTCCGGCGTAATAATCAAGGAACTTTGCTGCCGTACCATGAGTGCAACAGGCGCAATGATATTACGCAGCGCCTGAAATAGTCCCCAGCACCCTCCCTGTGCAAGCAGGGGGTCACGTTGGTTATGTTGACGGAAGTTAGCCTATTTTCAGGCACTGCGTAATATCATTGCGTAGCATTGGTCATTTTTGAGCAAGATGCTAACGGTCTAATCAGAATCAATGATCTGTGCTAAGCTACAGCTAAAAGTGCTACCGCCTGACCCGGAGAACGGCTGAATGGATTCGAAAACAGTAAAACTCAACTGTTTAACTGTAGGGGAGTTGGAAAATGAACCAATTTTAAAAAATAGTGGAGTGTTCCTTTAAGCATCAGAATTTGGTCAGATAATTCGTAGTAAAGCACTAAATCATAATGTCATTCACTAATAATGGTGTGGATAGTTCATATTTATATGCACAGTGAAAAAAAATTGGTGTAGTATTTTACTCTAAAAACACTCCGATTTTTCACTCAGAAATTGCTAGTAAATTTCCCAAATAATTGCAAAAAAACAGCAAGTAAAACATTGAATTAAATGTGAAATTTTGAAGTAGAAAGACGGCAATAGTATTTTCTGTAATCTACGTAAAAACTTTTCTTACAATGCACATGAAACTATCACGAAAAATTTGTAAACACATATCTACACAAGAATTTGTTCTTAACCTCATTGTAATGTTAATGAATTTGAAGCAATGTAAATGAGCAACCGCACACACTTTGAATTAAACATAACATTTTGAAATAGAAAGACTGAAATAGTACTTTTTGTTTTGGAAAATGTACTCCAATATTGTTTTATTCAATTTTGAAAAAAAAAATTTTTACAGTGTAATTTTTTATAGACTAACGAAATATAGTAAAAATTTACAATAAGATTCCATTTGCACAACATTGAACTAACAATCAAATGTATTAATGAGAATTTATTAATCTTAGTTCATTTCAATATTTACTAATAAATTATCGAAATCAAAAGTCAAAAGTCTGTTAATATTATATAGATAACCTGAAATAACTAAACACATTTTTTTAGCTAACATTAATAACTAAGATAAAAAGAAATACTGTAAGAAAAATACTGCTCATTATTAGTTAGTTACTTAATGCAACGTGAAGTAATGGGACCTTATTGTAAATCGTTAGTGAAATACATTTAAGATGGCATATAGATGCATAAAATTTAGTATACATGTGATTTAGAATAGATTTTAGTACAAATGTGGATATGTTCGTGAAAAATTTGTTTATTAATTATTGGAGTACGTCAAAATGTTCGTGTTTAATTCAGTGTTGCTTTGCCATTCCTTGGTAGTTCTTTGTGAAATTTACTAACAATTTCTGAGTGAAAAGTTTTCAAAGTAAATCCTACACCATTTTTTTTCTCAGTGTACGCAGATTTCATATACACATGGTTAGTGAAACCCAATCACTGTTTTTCAGTCTTTCGCCTCATTGAATAACCACGCCCCCAAATCACGTCATTGGTTGAGGCAGTGTTATGTTAAGTCGCTCAAATTAGGGATGCACCGAATGTTCGGCAACCGAAATTATTCGGCCGAAAATAGCAACAAAAGCTCTTTCGGTGTTCGGCCTAATAAGCGAAAAGACCGAATAAATTGTACCGAACAATGACGCGTCGCGATCAAATAGAGGCGCGCACTAATGCAACAAACATGTCGGCAGTGTGGAAGCATTTAAAAGTGTCCGAGAAAGACTGATTAGCACTAT